CTACACCAAAATCTAGTACAAGATGATACCTGATACACAAAATCACATATTTTCATTTCAATGTAGCTAATGATATATTTCTAGATTTTAAATAAAATATATAGATTAGAGGTAATAAAATTTATTCTCAAGTGGGAAGGCAATAGCTGCCTTTTGTTTAAAAATGGAAAGGAATAGTAGGCAAAATATATAGCTTTTAAATTCTGTAGCTCAAATTTTGGTTTGTGAAAGGCTTCACATCCATGGTCATTTTGGGTGGGTTGTTCCTTGTGACGATACCAACTGTTACCAAAACATTCTAAGAAAAGGGCAGTGAGTGAAGTGCAAGGAATATAGTGCTGGATTTTATGCATTGGCCATATCAAGTTGATGACACCATGATTTTACTATGAAGTGGAGCAAAGAGTCAATAAAGGAAAGGGAACAAGGTTCCAAATTACATGTTTTCAGATTTTCCTTAAATAAATAAAAAAATTTAATTTTATTATTATTATTTTTTTTAAAGGGGAACAGGAAGAGCCCAGGCCCACAGCTCCAGCTCCAGCTCCATGGGGCTCAGAGAGCTGCGGCTGAGGCTCCCTTCCCAGGGCACTCCACACCGGAGCACAGCATAGGAGCTCAGCTGCGGCTGGTGCTCAGATGTTATAGATAATTCTGTTCCCCAGCAAAAATGGGGCTTATCTGCTCAGAAGAGATGCACTGCAGAGATAAAAACAACTTCCTCTAACTGTTGATTAGATAACAGCCTGGATCTCCTGCCCCAAGGCTGGCCACACTCTCTCCAGTAAGACCAAGCCCACAACCTTCAATACTTTAGAGCTCCCAAGGGGACCCTCTTCTCTCATCCCAGCTGTGGGACAGGGCTATGTTCCGGGGGCCCATGGTGCTGAATGCGGCCCACTTAGAACTTTGAAACCAAAGTGAGCACTGGCACCAGTTGAATGAATGAGAGACACAGTGCAACCATTTGCCTTCATTGGGTTTTCCAGGCAGTAAAACAGACGAGGAGATTGCTTAGATTTCTCTAAAGAATCTTGTACCACCTTTGGGTTAGCTGCACTATTCCCGCAGGACATCAAAGCTCCTAGAACACAATTTCACAACACGACTCATTGCTGGAACACAGCTGACTCTCCAGTAGGTTTTCAGAGGCTGTAAACTGCATGAGACGAGACTGTCATCTTTATCCTGCAGAGCAGTTGGTGCCTTTGCACTGGTAACACTGTTCATTACGCACTAGGCTGCTAGTAAAGAATATATTGGTATGTTACAGTACAGAAAAGCTTCCTATATTCAACCCCCTGCCCATCACTGTAGTTCTTTCTACATTAAGAGTAACTGCTACAGAATAGCATCAGTTCTGCCAATTCACTATCCCCTGCAAGCATACGAAAATAATTTAATTTAGCATTGCTATGCTTATGCCTCTCAGACTTTGTTTTTTCACTTTACAGGCATTCCTGGGTTACAGGTGAAATAATTTCCTGTATTTGTCTTTGCATTGGATCTGGTAAATGAGAGTCGGCACCTAGGATCTTGTTTAGCTTTACTGTAGGACAGGAGAAGGCTGGAAGCCTTTCCAGTGATTTAAACACTGCACATGCAGTAAAGTGATGGACACAGTGCTGTGGGTGGGGGCTGACTGAACTGTTTCTAAGTGAGGGCAAATTTCCATGACGCTAAATAAGTTGTCCATAGAGGCACTGATCTGTCACAGGGCTGTGCCTTTGGCCCTTGTCCTACACCCTCATCCCCCCCTCTCCCCCCTCCCTCTCCATCTCTGTTCCGCCACCCAGGCGTTTACATGCTGGTCCTTCAGTGCAAACCGTGGGCTCATGTCCGGAGTCAGCCCATCTCTGCACTCCCAGAGCTGGGAACCTGTTGCTAGATCTGTGTTGTCACCAGGATTCTGGTGTTAACACAGAGACATTTACGTATCAAGGATGAACTAACTAATTAGTGACTTAGCAAAACTTCAAAACAAAAAGAGGAACTGTAAGGATTAATGAACAAACCAAAAAAACCCCAAAACAAGTGGCTTTAATTTTTCATGCAAACTTCTTATCTGCTTTACAGCAATCCTGGTGTAATTCCCGAATGAAACCCTTTTAAGATCTCCTAGTCAAAAGCTTTCTGAATAAATCTTCATCTATTTCCCACCTTTCTGAGATGAGTACTACAGTTTATTGGGTAAAACTGAGCTTGCCCTTCGGTGGTCATGACGTACTTCTTCTACGTTGACTAGTTTCATACACAACCACTTCAGAAAGATGAGATTGTTCTCATTGGTAAAAACACTACTTCAGAAGCAGCTGCTATAATCTCATGAAACAGAACATTCTGAGGACTAAATGCCTCATTACCAGAAAGTTCTCCTTGGCATCTCCTTTAAGTATCTCATGCTCTACTCTAAATCCTTGTTCCTTCTCATTCTTACCTAAGAGAAAATAGAGACCAAATAAGGACTACGGTCTTCACTGAGCCTTATTCCTTGACACTTGAAAATTTACATATATTCACTGATGCTGTAGGAAGTAAGACCCTGGCCCAGAGGGCACTGGCCAGTGTGGGAGGGAGAGGTGACCTGGCCCTCTGTCCTCAAAATCCATCTTCTTTCCAGGCTGTCTTCACACCACGTGGCTTCTATCCCGTTTAGGACATCTCACCACCCAACCTCTAGACCTCCTCCTATGTTTCTCATGATTTCTAGGCAAGGAAAATTTATAAATTTATCAATTCTGAAATTCCTATGTTGCAAAATTTAACCTGGAAGAACAAAGAGAATATAATGCTATACATGATAAGAAAACACTAGAAGAAACCAACTTCATCCCCAAATGATGTCTCCACTGGGTAAACGCAGGGCCTAGAACACCATCTGCACACACAGAACCATCTGGGAACCATTCTAGAAGGTGCTGGTGATCTCATATCATGTGCCAGTTAGCAGGAGTGTGACGATTATCCAGGGCAATGCTTCTAGACATTTACAAAGATGATGGATCTACTATTAAAGTGAACTATCTCTTCTTTTCCAGGAATTAGCCTTATTTTCAGTTCTCTAAAAGACACTCATATAGTAATGATGGATTCATGTGCCATAGCCGTTTCAGGGAGAGATCACCAGGTTTCTCCCCAATGGCCCTACAGCCCATCTCCAATTTTTGGGTGCTGGGCTGACTGAATGGCTTATGAATACATACCAATCCTACTTTTTTCTTCTGCTTTCTGAGTCCCACACTTCATGCACATAGACAAATAGACACAAGGCTGAGATTTTCAAAGGTTTCATCTTACACGGATTCACAATCAACACCATTGGTTTCAGCAATCAAGCTATCAAAAGACATGTTGCATTAGGAAAAATCTACTGTCACTGCCCTCTCCGAAGTGTTGAAAAGCAATAATGTCAGTTTAAAGACCAAGGTACACCTGATCCAAGCCATGGTCTTTTTAATTACTTGCTATGAAGTTGTAAGTTGGGTAATGACTAAAGAAGACAGAATTAACAGGAAGAAACTTTGTTTAGAAGAATAATTGATGCCTTTGAGTTATAGTGTTGGAGAAAAGTACTGAATAACTCATAGACTGCCAAAGAAAAATATGTCTTTGAGAAGTGAAACCAGAATGCTCCTTGGAGGCAAGGACAGTGAAGCTTCATCTTACATACTTTGGACCTGTTGTTAGGAAAGGCTGGTACATGGAAAAGGATATCGTGCTTGGTTGGAAAGGTGGAGGGTCAGTGTAAGAGAGGAAAATCCTCAAGAAGATAGATTGACATACTGACTATAATAACAGGCTCTAATATATCACAGGTGAAAAGGATGGCACAGGATTGGGCAAGGTTCAAATTCACTCTTCACAGGGTTGCTATGAGTTGTAATCAACTCAAGGGCATATAATAACACTACCTCTTCTCCTCTCTCTCTCTCACTCACACACACACACACACACACACACACACACACACACACACTACACACACACAATACTCAAAGGCAACATGGTAAGACATGTGAAAACACTGAAGGAAAATGTGTATTACTGCAGCATGATGCCTTACAGGGAGATAGTGATATCTTTAACCCTAAGAACTTGACACATGACATATACTTGCCATCTCTGGCTGGGAGGGGGGAGTTCATGGTTCTGATCACTTATGACCCAGTTTGCCTTATTTCTACCTCATGATTTTCTTCATAATATTCTATGGTTAAAAAAAAAAAAAAGGAAAGAGATATTCCAAGGAACTGTTGACTCATCAGCTCATGAAAATGTGGTATAATGGAACAAAAACTGCTCTTTGAGTCAGAAAATGGTGATTCTCATTTTGACTCTGCTATCTGACCTTAGTTCACTGAACTTCTCTGGCCCTGTTTTCTTGTAATAAAGTGGGGCAGACTGAGTTGTCTAAGTATCAAGGGTAGCATGTAGAAGTCAACCATGAAGAGACCGCTGCTGCTCTATGCCCACTCCTTTTATTAAAAGGATACAGAAGGTTCACAAGATATAGCACCTAGATTTTCTTTAGATTAAAACATTTCTAAGATTTAAATGTGAGAATTCAATAATACTCATACTGCTTAGAGGAATAACATAAACTGGTCAGATACAGACCTCGTGCCTTGAAGATAGGTCTACAGCCATCACATATAAAATGCTACGTTCTCGCTACCTTCAATCCGTAAGGTTTCTATTCCTGCAAGGGAAATGACGTTGTGCTGGTGCCCACATGTAGCAAGCACTGTGGCAGCAAGCGCTCCCCAGCTCCACCTGCGGGCCAGGTGTGTTCTTGGTCATATTGAACTGTGAGTGTCTGTCCTCTCTCAGACAAAAGGTACCAGTCTGCTGAACTTTATACCATTTTCCCTTAAAATGATTTTGAGGGAAAACAACACCACACCGAGTCACTCTTTTGAAGGATGCAGAAACACAGGATTCACAGGAGGGAAGCATGCGACAGCCTGCAGAAAGGATAGATACCAGGTCAGCTGACTTACCCATGCCTCTCTCGTTCTTTGCATTCTGCTGTGCTCCTGAAGTGGTGGACAGGTCTTCAGGGGCAGGCATAGGCTCGTCCCCATCATCGGGAGTGTCACTTACGGGAGGGCTTTCCTTCCCTGAGGAGACAAGTGGCAGTGTGAGTTCTGGTGGCATGAGGTTATGAGCAAGTGAGCCTTAGAAGACGGTGAGCTCCATGGTCTCCACCAGGCTTGATTAGTGAGGTGGTGACAACTGGTTAGTGCTGCTTCACTGAGTGGACACATGCTTTTCTGCTAATAAAATGATATTCATTACCAAAAGAGAAGGGGTGAGGACAGAGAGACTACAGATGGGATAAAGGAAAAGAAATCCTCTTAAAGATGAACATTATTAAAACTATGGAGTATGCCTAATGTGTAGATAACTGGTAATATGTGGGGAGGCATTTTCTTTTTCAAATAGTGTTTTTCAAGCATTCAAGTCATTTACTGTCTTGTGAACACCTTTTCATGCTAGTTTTTTTAAATTTATACTAGCTATACTAATACTCTGGTGGTGTAGCACGAAGATGCACTGCTAATCCCAAAGCCAAATCTTTTCAGTGGTTCAAATGCACCAGTCACTCAGTTGGAGAAAGACGGGTAGGTGTTCTCCTAATGCAACATATAACTTGAAACTAGGGGGAGGGGGTGTCATGAGTCAGAACCAACTCCATGGCAGGAGGATGCATCATTGGATGGGTGGACTAGGATTTATTAAAATATTTTTCTATTTTTTTATTTTTCTATTTTTTAATCTGTATTTAGAACAACTCTCTATTATCAAGATGCCACTATTATGACAGTTCAGACATCCATGTCTGCACACATTAACAGTCACTATAGTATAAACATCCAGGAGTACCATGGTTATGTTGAAAGGTACTGACATTTCTCGAACTTTGACAGGTTCCACCATTTTCTTCTTTGGAAGGTAGTTCTTACTTTCCTCCTTCAAGTCTTCTTTACTATGGTTATCTCATGTTAGTTTTAGGGTTTTGTCATGTGCCAGGTTTGGTTTGACATGGTGGGGAGAAGAGCTTGGAGAGTAGGAGACAGGGCAGGAATTACACCTGCTGTGGAAATGGCCACATAACACATTAAACAGTCACTATCAGTTCCTATCTCTGAAACAGGAAAGTAAAATCTACACACATACTACCACTGCTTATACTTCACAAAGTACAATTTACCAAATAGGATCTTATAAGACACTTTTAAAAAAACTTAACTAGAATTAATTTTACCAGAGCCTTCAGCAATGAGGAATTCACTTCTACCCTAAAGAATACAAGGCTGGGAAGCCATGAGTCACAGAAAAGGCTTTCTCCACTAAGCTGAAACCTGTCTCCTGTAGCTTAATTTAAAACGAAAGTGTAAGGCACAAGTCAAATGCAAGAAACAGAGATAAATATCTCAGTGCATGCAAAATAATCCATCGCATCTGCCCACTGAACACCAGCTTAGATTAAGGCCCTAAAGAGGGATCTCTAAACTGGAATTTCATGTTTGTGACTTGAGATAGTAATCTGTGTAACAAGAAAAATGAAATTCCCACACAGACAAAACCAAACTTTTCATAGTGTACACAAATATCTAGTAAACAAGACTAGAGACAGTATAAAATGTCTATGTAAGTTTGCATAAATATCCCACAAGAATGACACCAACCAGTAAAATCACCCTCAATTCATAAAAACACCTTTACTGGAACAATCAAAAATAGAGCCTCTGTAGACACTGAGCATATTACTTTGGGGAATACCATCACATTCTCTAGGAAACAGACATCACAATTCAATATTCTGGCTTGGCTGTAATTACCACGATTGGCAAATATTCAGAAAGAGCATTACTGAATATATTTGGATAGCCAACACAAGATGAATAGTTAAGAAGGGTCAAGACTATGATAATTTCCCAAGGAAAAGCAAAACGACAGAGAAAAATTGATTGAAAGTGCTCATATTACACTGAAGCTTGGTTGTAAATGTGCATTATGTCAGCAATAATTTTCATTGCTCCAAACACAAGATTTTAAAAGTAATCAGACCTAAAAACCATAAGGATCACAAAAGACAAAATTAGATCAAACTTAGAACACCTAACTATGGCATAAACGTTGCTATTATGTACCATGGAGTCTGAACCGACTCACAGCTAACCGTCCAGTGGGTTTTCAGAGTCAGTAAAACACATAGCAGGAGAATGTCCATCCTCTTGAGTAGTAACTGGTGAATTCAAACCATGTGTATTTGGGATTGCAGCACTGCTTCTTACCATAAGGCCACTAGAGTCCCTATAGCATAAATAGGCTTGCAATTAAAGCCAGAAATGCACAACCAGGAGAAGATAAAAACGGATGAATGAGACCTTTAAAAACTCAAGCCCCTGTATGAACCAAAACCTTTTCCAATAGAGTGAATAAAAACCTACAGACTGTGAAAAAATTGTGACAATGACATCTCAGACAAGGGTCTCATAATGTAAGTTTACAGAATACTACAGGACCTCCACAAGAAAAAAACCTAATAACTGAACAACAAAATAGGCAAAATACATGAAAAAGCTATTCTTAAAGGAAAATATTTGGATGGTCAATTGACACATGAAGAAATGTTCAAAATCACTGGCAATCAGAGAGATGCAAATCAAAACAGTAAGATATCTCATTCCAGTAGCAAAGTTTAACTGACCAGCAAACAGTAAGTGTTGGAGAGAATGTGGAGAGATTGGCACTCTCATGCACTGCTAGTGGGATTGTAAAATGGTACAACCACACCTGGAGGCAATTTAGTATTTCCTCAAAAAGCTGAATGCAGAAATTCCATATGACCCAACTATCCCACTGCCTACGAATATACCCCAAGGGAATGAGAGCTGAGACACGAATGGGGATATCTACAGCTATGTTCATAACATTCACAAAACCAAGAAAATGGAAACAGCCCAAATGCTCATCAATAAACAAATGGATTAAGCTGTGATACAAATGGATTAAACTGTGGTACATTCACTCAAGGGAAAATTACACAGCACTAAAGAACGATTTTCCAAAATACTACATAACACAGGAAAGTCCAGAGAGCACAAGGCTGAGTGAAATGACTCCATAAGCCCAAGGAATAGTGCATAATTATTGTGAAAATAGAAGGAATAACTAGTAAGATGTATGTAAATGTACAAAAGGTGGTGTGAAAAGGGTAGAAAATGAAGAAGGGAAGAAATGACCAGGACAGCAGAGTTTGGTGGGCAGAGGTGGGTTGGGGAATAAAGAGGAAAGATTCAATGGAGAGTCTATAAGCATAGATCAATAATAATTAATTTTATAAAATATAATAAACATGAATAATTGTATGAAATACAATGTAAATGAAAGACTGCACAGAACACAATGTACATGAATGAAACACAATTAAAAAACTTGAAAATCAGAACAATAATTATAACAGAGGTAATTATAGTTAAAGGCTAACTGTGTTATTTTCACCATTTATTTCAGAGCTGGGAAACACTTGGGATAGGTGAATACATGAAGTACTTGGAGCCATTTCACAACTCTTATTTTAGTATACAACAATTGGTCTAGAATAGTGATTCCAAGCAGGTATGAGTCTGGTGAGGAAGGAGATAAAAAAAATGCTTCTTTTCTTTAGATGATAGTCTTACAGAGTTTATAAGACAGTGCCCCACATAAAGGGGGCTATTGCATGGCGTGGAGGCTGGGAGATCCAGACACCTGGGCCACTTGTTTTCTTAGTGAAACTGTAAGGTAACGACAGACTCACAGAGACGACTGGTCTAATAAGCCAGCAAAAATGATTGCATGTTTATAGTGTGAGTGTACATTTGTGTTTAAAAAGCTGTCATGAGGTGGCATTCTTATTATTATGTACTATGCTCTTTCTTGTGTCTTTGGTTCAATTTAAATAATTATGGCACCCTGGAACCCAGGAGAATCACAACAAAACAGGACTTAAACATGGAAGCATGCCTTTCTGCTCTATGAAGGCCAAAACTCATCCAACTCTTGGTTAATGTTATTTGTCAGCCAGAACTTTTACATTCTCCATGTAAGGAAAAAAAGGAATAATGAGAACAGCAGGGATCGAGATGCTAAAACCTCGTGGGTTAGTGCTAATCAATAGGTTTGCTCTGCACAGAAGGCTCCATGGGGAGCAGAGAGAATGGGGATCAGTCTGTGTGCAAAGTGACAGCCAGTCAGAACTGGACGATACCAAAGATACACACACGTCCTACACGAGCTCTCCTTAATACAACTGTCTGCCCTTAGCCAGGGGTTTGTTTTTAAGAAGTCACCTGATTTGCCTAAAAGCCTGTCTATTCCAAGCCAAGGTTGCTGGGGCATTAACCATGCCCGTGTGCCCTCCATGAGACTCTTGCCACTCTCTTACTGCTGGAGATTTGAGGGTGAAAGGTTGTGCAAACCTTCATGGTAGGTAGGCAACACTATTTTTGCACCTAATCTCTTTATACAGCTTCAAGTCAGGCATTTAAATCCTAGAAGTGGCTGGTGGGTTTGAACTGTCAGCCTTTTGATATTCAATCAAATGTTTTAACCATGGCACCACCAGTGCTTCTCTCTGAGCCCTTCTCAACTTTCTGAGTCTTGCTGTTGTTATGGACTGTCAAGTTGGAACTGATTTATAGCTGATGCTCCTGCACGTTTTAAGAGGCAGTACATTGCATGGGAGAAGACTGTCCATCTTTGTTCTGCAGAAAAACTAGTGAATTTGAACCACACATGCCTTTGGGTTGGCAGGGCAACTCCTTACTTCTAAGCCACCAGAGCTACCTATAAATTGAATAGAACACTTATTCAACAATTGAATAGAACAGTATCCTACTGGGGGCACTGTGAGTAAAAGCTGTTGGCTGATGGTCAAAAGATCAGTGGTTTGAACCTACCACCACTCCATGGGAGAAAGATGTGGCAGCTTGATTTCACAAAGCCTTCGAGCCTGTGACACTTGTCCTACATGGTCACTCCGGGTCAGTACTAACCCCATGGCAGTGGGAGTTAACTTGGTTTGCTTTTAGCTTTTCTTTAATATTCTTTAGTGGGTTTATATAAGGTTAAAATGAGACAAATACTTAGGACAGTGTGTGGTAAATAGCATTTAATGCTATTTATTATGATTAATAGTTTTAATATGATTTATTATGATAAATATAATAGGTCCACTGGTATGTATGTGAACCTTATTTCCCTAAGTAGATTATATACACAAAGAAGGCACAGTTTTTAGTTTCTTGTTGTAACACACACTAGAGAAATGCATTTGGTATATGTCTAGGGCCCTAGGAGGAAACAATCAAATGTCCTGGAAAAAGTCAGATGCCAAATCGTTCTTTTTTCCAAGTGAATACTTTACATACAGTAAGTTGAACCATATGGAATTGCTCATGTTCAGGTATTTCTTACCTATGAAAATGATAATTTCATGTGATACAACTTTAAAAACTTTATTTTCTTGTGGACAGAATATAGCAATGTTCATTAATTTTATGGGAAAACGGATTCAGTATCATACTGCCTCATATTTTCGATAAAAATGTCAGTTACTAACTATCTGAATGTACATCCTTATTCCACAGCAACTTCCTCTTATTTTAGGGAGGGGGGAAAGTGATATGATGGTTGGCTTTAACTGGAGGAGCAGCAATCTCATTCCAAGAAACTGAAAAAGTATCTTTAAAATTTTCCCTCTGTGAATAGGGTACCCTATTATTTAAATAGGCACCCTTTCAAATGCTCGATATTTATCATAAAGGAAAAAAAAGTAACTAATGTTTTTGGAACATTTGCTAAATGTATGCAAAGTAAATTTCCAATAAAGTTTTACATCATTTTTCACACACTCAAAAAAATGAGTTTCTTTTTTCAGGAAGTCTTGGGTAATTTGGGCTTCCTACCCTCTGCTACCCTCTCCTTAAAGGGCACAGTCCAGAATGAAGTAAGTTTTTCGAGTTAAGTTGGAAAGAGCAGGACAAATATCAATAGATAAATGAGATTTTTGTTATCTCTAATAATGAGAGATGGGATCAGAAGCTTGGCCAGTGGTTCCTTATAGAAACATTTTTGAGATGGTCTCCAAGTCCCAGGCACCCACTCTTCACCATATGGTGTTAAAGGGTAGACCCCCAAGCAAAGTAGTTTCATTCTTTTCAAAGTTATCAAGCATATGAAATAATAAAACAGGGATGCAGAGCACACAAAAGGTGACAAAGAGCTACACTTTTCCTCTCAAGCAATTAGGGTTGGTTCTATTAAAGAAGGAAAATGTGCACTTAAAAAAATAAAATACTAAAAGGAAGTAGAAGAAAAGCAAAGTCTTCAACTCTCCTGATTTGTGTGTATATATGAGTGCGTAAGTTGTGTTTTTTTAAAAAAGACTAACACTTGGCACATGATACTGCAACATGTGGTTTTGTTTTCCTTTTTTCACAGTAGCACACACCTTGGGCATCTTTCCATGCCAGCACATTTATACTATCCTCATTTTTAAGAGCTATATAAGGAAACTCATAGATGTGTCACAGCTTTTCTTCCAAGTTAAGTGGAAGCAGGTGTGTAAAGGCACAAACACCGCAGACAGACCATCCTCATGGAGTCCGGCCTGCTGTTTACCCTTAAAAGAAAAAAGCCAGAGCTCATGACAACGCTGCTGCCCAGCCCCTCTTTCCTAGGCCAGGCTGAGGATGGACACCTGCCATCTACGAACGGGTGCACTGTATAGGCTCTGATGGGGAGAGTGTCCCCTCAGACGGGCCCTGTGGACAGTCTGTTGCATTTCTGGGTGTCATCTCGAGTCATTTACCTTGTTTTTCTTAGAAGAGCAATTCTTAACATGGCTTAAAAAATATACATGATAAAAGGGAGAAATGTTGCTTCTGTATTTAACAAATAACTCTGAATTGCACCCTAATCTGTGTCTTTAAAGTTATTTCCTCTTGCTTCTCTCTCCCTGGAATACCACCAAAGCACATGTTTCAATCAAGGGCAGATAAGCCAACCATTTTCTCCTGAGTCCAAACATACTTCTTCTTCCTGAGTAACTACTAGATTTATCAGTGTAACTTATTTTATCTCAGAGATTGTTTTCTATAAGATCTTCAGTTGGGATGTGACCTAAGGGCTGAAGTGGCCCATTATGACATACACTCTGGCTTTCTCTCAAGCACATGAGCACAACCCGTGCCATGAGGACCAGCACCTGTGGCACAGTCCACCCCACTTCCCACACAGACTTTGCCTAAAGGTCTCACCTGAAATTTGGGATATGTCTTGACCGTCATCGGCTTCCATTGTCCTTAATGTATCTGAGAAAGAGAGGAAGGGGTTTTAGTTTAAAGCAAAAGCACTAATAAGCTATGAAAGAGGAATATAAAGAAACCATATGCTATTTGACAACAAGGTTATCTCACAAGAATAATGCATTTTCCTCCTCACATACT